AACAAATTTAATATATTGTGGTTCCCAGGCCATTTTTGCTGCACCAAGCGCCTTGCCTTCTTGCATTTACACCTGTACCGAAAGCCGATATTTTGAAATTAATCAATTCATCCGCCAAAAGGCGCACTGATGATAAGCGTGCATCGTATCCACATCTCTTCCAAAAGAGAGTCCAACCCGTTCAAAATCTTAGCCATCAAAACTTCTTCCCTAGGACACACGAAGATTACACACTGTTACAACTTGTCCTAAATGCAATTATCTACTTCTCACAACCCATGCAATCGAATTTTCAGGATTCAAAAACCGTTTATATACTTAAAGGATTCATTACTAGACAACATTGTCCGTATATTTGCTTCATCTTCTGAATTTCAGAGTGAATTTCACATTTTAATATTACTCTAAGAATAGTATATAAGTTCCTATCAAACTTACTGACTTTGTAATAAATATAAAGATGAATAATCTGTTGTAAATATAAATAAATTAATATCAACCTCCCATAATGGGACTGATAAAACTGTGCTTTATCTAGCTGTGACGTTGACCAAAAGCTCTGATACCCAATAAGAATAGAATTTTCTTTTCTCATCCTTCACCATGAATGCTTCCTTACCTTTGAAATACTCTTGCCGAATTCATTCGGCGTAAAATTAAGGCCGCTAAGCAGTCTACATAAATATGAATTATTTTTCTGAGCAGACCAGCTCATTTCAATTGCTGTGCGTATTTACTTGATATTGCAATGGTTCGACAGGGTAAATTATCCTAAAACCTTTTGAAACAGCACGTGTTGAATCTTGACCTACCACTAAAAGAGAGAGAGAGCTGTAGTAGAGCCACACAAAGATATTGAATTTAAGGTTCCACCAAAGCCTTTTCGAATCGTCTGCTCATTAGAGGTATTCTAAATTATACAATACCACCTTGTTAAGTGCAATTCAATGAACTTGGGATCCATCATGTAAAACCAGATCCAACAAAATAGTCTGAAAAGTCCCAAATGAGGTTGTAAAAAATAGTCTCCATTCGAAGTTATGGAAGATCCTTCATTTGAACTAGTCGGCTAGTAATAGTTTTTTTTCTCTATTGTACAAATCTCCAGTGTTCGGAATTTTTTTAATTTTTGTTCATTTGATCGGTATTCCGAGCTATTCGCATTTGCGGTATATTAGAGAATATATATAATATTAATTTTTTTTTTTTTTGTCGAAAAAACATCAAGATGCAAAACCATGATTCTGCCGAAAATCGCTTCAACGGTTACAAAGCGCCAATTAAGTATATATATATATATATATATATATATATATTGATCATCTACAATTAAATACCTTCTATGACTTTCTCGTTTCCATTTTCTATAGTTTCAGTCAAAAAAAAACTATAATGAGCAATTAAATTTATTAATTCTAATGCAGGAAAACATTAAGACTTGGTTAAGATGACGAAATTTCCTTATGAATAAAATAAAAATAAAAATAATATGTTTTTTTTTATGGAAATCTTTGGTTGGTATAAAAGAAGCCTTATTTTTGGTAAACATATATACACAAATTAAATTTAATGAGGATTTCAGTTCAAGAAGATTCAACGATTATCGATTTTCATAAACCACAATGGTAAAAATATGTATTTTTATTTACTTCGTTATTATTTTATTTTCACATTCGCAAAAACCTCTGTCTATTGATTTTATAGACAACTTTGACTGTAATTCGTAGAAAAAGCAGAAACTTTTTCTTTCCTCGCTTTTTTCCTATCAACTCACCAGGCATTTTACGCCTTTCAAGGTTATACATAGTAAACCAATCAAAGAAGATAAACAAAACTTTTAACCTTTCACACACCTGTTGACCCTTTTCAAGTACACATATCCTTTAAGTCACAAACAATGCATAAAAATTTAAGTAAAAAATGTGCAAAAGATTAAACTTAACAGCAAAGTCCAGCATACCAACATAGACATACATATATACATATTAATGGAAAGGAAAACTTTTTCCGAGGAACAAATAGGCAAATAAACTTTACTTCTTTGTCAATATTTGTGGTTAACCTTGAATATTTCAACACTGGCACATGCATATATCAAATCCACAAGTATATATATATATATATATATATATATATATGAGGAGTATAGAGAGAAGAAAACTGTGAAACTTTTTCATTTAACTTTTAGAAAATTCTGTCATCACATACTCGTGCATATAATAAATCCTATGTAAACAGAATTTTACGATCCTTTAACATAATTAATTAATATTGACTGCAACAACATTAATCTTCGGTTGACTATGTGACATTGAGATGTTATGTTATTCGTGGTACAATATCCCCTCCACTCTAAGGGAGTGGAGCGCAACGAACGTAAAAAGAGTCTGGCAACTCTAGTTAATCCCAAAGAGCGCTCACTCTTATATTTTTCATACTTTGTGCAAAGCAATATTTGTTGTACACCCAACATGTCTGTTTGTTTGGGTGTTTGATATATTAAAGGAGTGTCTAGGCGAGCTAAAATATTCATTGCCAACTTTTCAGCTCGTCACATATGTATGTATATTAATCATAATGTTTTAAATTTATATGCTACTGTGCCGAAAGTTTGATTGTGAACTTTAACGCATACATATATACACACATTCCAAAACACGTTAAATACATAATTATTCGCTATTTCTGTTTTCCACTTCCTTAATTTCCTTCTAAATTTACCTTTTGGCTTCTTTGTTTTCTATCATTTTTTTTTATTTTGTGTCGACTAAATTAATTAACTAATTTCCAGACACGCCTTATTAGCTTAGGGGCACAAACACTCCTGAACCTGAACATGAACTTGACTTGAATAACTGCTTTCATATACACGTATGTATATACGAGTACATAAATTCTTGTTCATATATATAAGGGTTACACATCTCTACCTACATACTTGGTATTTCAAGGTGAATACATATTTCTTCTATTTATTCTAGTTTATATAAAAAAATTTGTGTCGGAAATAAAAGTGAGATGTGCATAAATATGTAAAATGAAAATATGGAAGTGTGGAGGTATTTTTAAGTCACTCTGTTTATAAACTAGCTAGACATTATGTCATTTTAGAAAGAAAAACATAAATAAAAATAAAATAAAAAAATCAAAACCAAAAAATATAAAATAAAATTTAAATATATTAAATGAAATAAAATAAAATTTTAAAAGTATTTAAACTAGAATAAAAATGAATTAAATTAACCCCGACTAAAATAATTATAATAAAAATTAAACAAATAAAAAACGTGAACAAAAACATAAATATCAGGTGTACAACTTTGCTTCCGCCGTTATTTTCCAAAATTAAAAGCTTTATTGCGAAAAAGTGCTTACAGATATATTATTCAAAGTATTGTCCTTGAGCAACAACTTTCTCCCATCTTTCCAGCAATTCTCGGATCCCAGCTCGGAAAAAGGAGTATTCTTTTGACGCTAACCATGAAGCAATCCACTTTTCCAATTCTTCAAAGGATTGAAAATGTTGATCTGCCAGGCCGTGTGCCATCGAACGGAATAGGTGGAAGTCAGAAGGGGCGACATCTGGGGAATACGACGGGTGGGGCAAGACTTCCCATTTCAGCGTTTCTAGGTACTTTTTGACCACTTTTGCGACGTGAGGCCGAGCATTGTCGTGTTGGAGGATGACTTTGTCATGTCGCTCTTGATATTGTGGCCGCTTTTTTTTAGCGCGCGACTAAGGCGCATCAGTTGCGTTCGGTAGCAATCTCCTGTGATAGTTTCAGCCGGCTGTAAGAGCTCGTAGTACATCTTTGAAGGTTTTTTCTCTTCCACCACCATGTTTGTCTTCGACATCGAGATCACCATTTTTAAAACGTTGAAACCACTCCCGACACGTTCTTTCACTCAAAGCAGCATCACCGTAACTTTCTGAGAGCATTCGATGCCCTTCAGCTGCATTTATTTTGAATTGTAACGGAAAAGTAAAACTTCCCTCAAATGGCGAGAATTAGTCACATAAACGGACATTTTCGAGCGTGAATAATACGAAAACAAGGACAACTGTCACTGACACGGCGATGACAATTCGTTAGGCACTGTCCACACTCACTTTAAAGGCATTATCATCTATGTATTTCAACCAGCCTCAGCCGGTACAGCCATCTATCGTAAAACGGCGGAAGCAAAGTTGTACACCTGATAAAATAAATAAAATATTATATATTAATTGAACATATTGCAAAAAAAAAAAAATAAAGTAAAAAATAAAATAAAATCAAGTGAAACGAAATGAAAAAAATGAAGCAAAGCGAAGTGAAGTAAAATAAAACAAATAAAATTAAATAAAAAAATAAACTAAAATAAATTTAAAAAATGAAATAAAATAGAACAAAATTAAATTAAATGAAATAAAATAAAATTAAATTAAATTATCACCAGTTGGCTGTAGAAGTAAAGCAGATGTGGCACTCCGTCAAAGTTATAGTTGTACCAATTATTATTTCTTCGAGATTAGTGGTTCCCAAAACATTCGTGAGGAGGAATTTTGAATAAGTAAAAAGTTTTTGAGTAAACAAAAACCAGTTATATTATCAACAGCATCAATTATACGTAAGTTTTTGAATTTTGAATTGTAAATATATTTAAATAATTCACAAAATAATTTATCAATACGTGATATGTACCCAAGAGCAACAAATAAAATTAAATTAAATAAAGTTTAAGAAATTAAAACAATCTGAAATTAAGTTAAATAAATTAAAAAAATACAATTAAAAATTGCTCCATTTTTTCTGCCACTAATCGCGTAAAAAAAAATCGCGTAAAAATGGTTAGTTTTCCAATATTAACTGACGAATTGGTTCCGAATATAAAAAATATCGCGTATAACAAAATATACGGGCAAAAAAATATTTAAAAACAATACAATAAGTTTCAAATTTCAGACTTATGATTTATTCATTCATAACAAAATAAAAAATACAAAACAAAAACTATATATAAAAGAGAAGAAAATAGAAAATAGGTAGATTTATTGAAAAAACCGTTGAATGCTGTTTAAAAACTGTCATTATCCGTAGTGGAAATTATTCTTAGCCGCTTATTTTGATGACCTGCACTGATATCACTAGAATTTGTATCACAATCAATAGTTAGAACTATGGATTGATGCTCTGATTGACTTAGCATCTCCGACTGAGTTTGCGCCATAAATTCAGTTAATTTTGTTTGAATGCTTCTTTTTGGACCCAATAAATTCCGATGTAGTTCTTTATATCTTAACATCCAGAGACTCAATTCTTTTTGAAAAATTCGTACACGTTCGGCATCAGTATCATTTGCTACAAAATAATTTTCCAATTCTGCTGCAAGTTTAAGACCTTGCTTAATCGTCTCTGCTTTAATTGGATGCTCGTCTATCTCGGTGTCGCTACCATTTTCCGATTCGATTACTTCCGTGGCTATTTCAATTAAATCGTCATCATCGAGCTCTCGGTCTAGAAGAATCTGGTCAATATCTTCTCTCGTCATATCTGCAAAAATTTCTCCTCCCGCGGAGCTTGCTAAATCAATGGTATCTGAATAATTAGTTGAATTGCTTGTCACGGACATACCACTTTTAACACATTCTGGCCAAAGAGATTTCCAGTACGCGTTTAACGTATGTTGCCTTATTTCAGAAATTACTTTTGACGCGTACACGATGCAATCCTTGATAGAAAAATTTTTCCAAGCATCTGTGAAGTCCAATTCAGGATTTTCCTCCAGTTTTTCCATAATGCACTGAAAAGTTTTTTTGAGGTAGTACATTTTAAAAGTCGCAATAATGCCTTGATCCATCGGCTGGATAATTGATGTAGTATTCGGCAGGAGGAAAATGATATTTACATTAGGATGTTCAATCAACGGATGGCCTGGTGCATTGTCAATTATTAAAAGAGCTTTAAAGCGTTGTTTCTTCTTTTTCAAATAACTTTTAACTTCTGGTACAAAGCATTTAGTAAACCATTCTTGGAATATATTTCCAGTTACCCAGGCTTTTTTATTGGCCATCTAGTGGATAAATACGTAGAGCTTTTTGTTTTATTGTTGTAGTATCAACTGGGATTCGTTTCTGGTTGAGATCCCCAATTCAAACTGTTAATAAATAATTTCTTCAAATGTTTTTCTTGAGTATGAAGTTTTCTTCGCATTTACATATTTGCCGGAAACTACAGATTTTCTAATTGCATTTTCATTTTTTTTATTGTCCGCACTGTAGATTTACTGAGTCCAAGCCTCTTTCCCACATTTGTTGGGCCAGCTCCCTGCTCTAGATAGTTTTTTTTTTATTTTTTTCTGAATTAGCTTCCATTGTAAAACTATCAAAAATTGAAATACCCTATTAAAAATTTTTATTATTTTTATTATAAAATTATAGATATATTTTAAAGTCTTACCAAAACAACTGCACCGCCCGCTAACTAAATACATTATAACTAGATTCGCAATAATTGATACACATAGAGTAAAATTTTTTTTTTGGGACTTCCCCTTATTACATTCGAAAATTATTACGCGTAAAAATATGTAAACAAGCAAAAAACGAAAAAAATAACCGCGTTAAAGTGAAATCGCGTAAAAAGAGATCGCGTAAAAAAAGGACTGAGTGTAAAGAAAAATGCGCAGCACGATTTAGAGCTGGATCTCGCCACCATGTATACAATATATAAGAACAAATTATAAAAAACACAATTAAAATAACATAGATTAAGTTCCAATAAAATGAATTATATCGATTGAAATTAAATTTAGTAAAACTTAGTAAATCAAAAATAAGGAGTTTAAATTAAATATCTATAAATTTAAAAAGTGTGGAAAAATGTTTAAAACATTTAAAAATAAATCTCTCTCATTTTGTATCCACCCTTCTCATGGTATTCGTTTATTTAATGGTTCATTGTTCAGTATGGAAATATTTACCCCCACCACAGCTTTTTTGCATTCATAAAAAATGATAAATTTGCGCTTAAATCAAAATGAAAGAAGTAATAACTTGTTTCCCACAAATCACCAAAATGTTTGTTTACCCAATGAAATGCAAACAGCAAATGAAATTTTGGTTTAAGCTGCGCATGATAAATTACAAACCGAATCAATTATGTAAATAACTGCTTTAAATCCTGCCGCAATTGTATATACACGCCAAACATGTATTTTATTTTGATAAAATAATGTTTGCTGTTCCCTTCGAGCGACATTTTGTGCAGAGAAAGCAGATTTATCGAGAATTGTTTTTGCAAACCTTAGCAGCAATGCAAATATAGTTGAATTTTATTTATTTATTTTTCTTTTAATATTTTGTTGATTTCATATAAATTTTCTCTGTAAAAGTAATCAAGCGCAAATTATATGCTGCGTTGCCAAGCACTTGCGTACATGCATACATACATACATACATACATACGTGCATGTACTCATAAATGATAGGCATTCAAATATTTACAACGCAGAGTAACAATTCATACACTTTATCGCTCGAAGATTTATTGAGTGAAAAAACATAAAAACACCTGTAAGTAAATACAAAAATGTTTACATCTCATTTACATACAATATTTTTTTGCATACCATCTCAATGCCATATTTAACATGTCAATTACGCAATTGGCAGTAAAAAATACGAAAACTTAAGTACTACTATATAATACATAACATATAATATAATCCCCGTCTAACGATTTGTCCTCATCGCTAGCTATGATTTGTTATGTGCCACAGAGTTTTATGCTTAAATAAGCAGCATCACCCTGCAAATCCCTGCAACATACTTTACTCGTGCTTATTTATATAATATATATAAATTATATATATATATATATACATTTTCTATGAAAAAATAGGCACGCACATGTGCATACATAATTTCATATATTTACGTACTCTTACATGCATACAAGGACATACACACTCGTATATACGTCTGCCTTAGGTTGCAAAGTTTATAAATGGCATGTGAGAGTCTCACACACGATTTTTCATTATTCTATTATTAATATGCACATATTTTTCAACACGTCACGATACTTTAACCAAAGCTAGAAATAAAATTTTTGCACGTACGTACAGTGCGTATGAGTGATATTTTGTCTTTATTTAATTTTTTTTTTCGCTCAGCAAACCCACAAGCATTTGTATGTATGTAGCCCGTACATGCAAATCACAGTATTCGGAGATTTTACAATGTACACTTAGTGAATTCTGTGAAAGAGAAATATTTGCAATGAAGAAAGCGGCCTACAAGCGGAAATGCTATACGAGTCTCTACCAGCGGCAGTAACTATTTAACCACTTGAGTGTGATTTAGAGTTTTCCGTGTGTGATCGAGAGGCAGCGAGACTTCTGTGAAATGATTAGTAATTTTTTTAGGTTCTGACTAAATTATAATGACAATTTTATGAGATTAGATGCGTACGTAAAAATTGAGTTCCGCCTAAATGTATGCCATGCAGCCATATATAAGGTACAGTTGTCATAACAGAATTCAAAAATTTAAAAGTTTGTGAAAATTCTGGTCTTATATACAATTTTATATACAAAAATCTGATGAATTTAAAGAAATTCATGACAGTTGCAGCAAAATATACTTAAATGAATGAAAATTAAATAAAATAAAATAAAACAAAATTAAAATAAATAAAATTTAATGAAATCAAATTAAATAAAATCAAGAGAATTACAGTAATTAAAATATTCTAAAGTAAAATGGCATAAAATTAAATCCCAAAATTAAAATCAAATAAAATGAAGTGAATTAAAAGAAATGAAATAACTTAAACTCTCCGTCTGAAGTTGATAGACTAGTTGTAAAATTTATGAAAAAACACTGAAATAGGCACTAAAATAGAAAATAGTGAAATAATTTTTTTTTTTTTGAAGTCATATATGCTGAAATTTCGAAAAACGTCAAAATATTTTCATGTTTTCATTTTTTTCTGCTTGGTTGGTTTATTCAAGACGTTAAGTTGCCATAGCTAAAACTCAATTTATAAATCAGCTATGAATAATTAAAACCAAGTGTTTAATATTATTCGTATTTTGCAATTTTTTACTAAAATATGGTAGCCTTATATGTGTATATTAAATGTTAGAGTCTAATATGTTACAGCCAAAGTAAATTTTGTAAGAATTACTAAAAAGAATTTCTTATATATTTTACAAAATAATCATTCAATAAATTCTAAAAAATAAGATTGTAAATTATAATTATATTCAGAGCCGTGTGACGAGCTATTCGGAAGGCCCGGTTTCGAATCCTGGTTCGGCCAATATCCAAAAGTCATAGAGCTTCTCGAATATATAAAATAGACAGAAACAGCACGTCGAACAAGAGTCATATACTCATATATACTGCTTTGTCAATGCATCAAAAAATGGCGGAACTAATCAAATTTAAAATGCTATCGCAACAGATGGCGCAACCTATACTTGTATTTAAGAAAATTTTAAAATATTTAACCTCTCCCATTTTCCATATAGCTGATACATACATGGTTAGCTCTTTGTCTAAATTTAGAGAGGACCACTATTTCATTCAGAAAGTAGAGATATTTTTCAGTTTTGTTGAATTTTTGTACGGAGTTTGACCAGGGAGCAAGTTAGACGTTAGATTTAGCTGATCACAGATCAATAGATCAATACAAATAGTTATAATTTTGATAAGAAATATAGATTGTTCATAGATCGCTACGTCTTCTTTCCCTTTTATCTTCTGTCTAATATAGTGGGTTGCCCAAAAAGTAATTGCGGATTTTTCATATAGTCGGCGTTGACAAATTTTTTCAANCATTTATTTCGATCTTTGCAGAACTCCTTAAATGATAAAGCTTTCGGCAATGATGAGGCTATAAAATCGCACTTGGTTCAGTTTTTTTGCAGATAACGGTTTTATTAAAAATGCATTTACCTTCTTTTAAAAAACCCGCAATTACTTTTTGAGCAACCCAATAGTTGCATGATATATTTAAAAAATTTTAATTTATAGTTCAATTTACATAGATATGATACTTAGGTAGTTTTTTGCTTAGTTTAGAAGGAAATTTAATTTTGCTTCCAGGAATAGTACCCAGGAAGGATCTATTCGAATAAATCGCTTCAATGGTTTGGATTAATATATAAAAAGTTTAGGAAGTGGACCAAGAAACGAATGTAGTTAAATATCCCTTTAGATGGCATCATTCGTTGACTTAAGCCGACGCTTTGTTGGAAGGCACGCTCTTGCGTATACGGTTTCCTTCCATTTACATGCGTAAAAGCCGAGCAATTCCATCGCGTGGGCTATGACAATTGTAATTTCAATGAATTATGAATAATAAATATACTGCAGCCAAGTGAGAGAAACATGGGTTCATTTTTAGTACATTCGCGATCTCGCTCAATGAGAAACCCTTATGTTGAAAACAATTCATTGTTTTTCCTGAATTGATAACGACTGGACGGAAATAAAATTCAACTTTATTAAGGGAATACCGGGAACCGTACAGACGAGGTAATTTGATTCAATTAAAATTTAATTTGTTGGTAGCTCGTCGTTTAAATTACCATATTGCTTTCTGCTGATCAAGTTCATTCAAATAATTCACATTCAGATTTGAACTTGCATATATCTTATGATAACTTTTGATGTCATTTGAAGGCGTGCAATTAAGGCGAGGCGAAGTCCACTGGGTCTGCTAGTATATACATAAATAAATGTCTGTATGTGTCTGTATGTGCATTATAGAATTGTAGGCTTTTGAACATTTGATGATCTTTAGCAAACCCACGAAGGTATTTAATTTTCGACAGATGGCGCCGATATCAGCTCCATGAATTTCATATATTGTCGCGTCAGTTCATGCGGATTTGCGGATTAAAGTGACGTTTGGAGTTGTGGATGACATAAGAGTTTAGGTAAAATATGAAATTCATGTCAGACTCACATTGAATGGAGAATATTTTGGGAGCCTTTTTCGAATATCCTTGTGCATTTCATTGTAAGTTAAATCAGTTAAATACAATATTTGGCAGTTGGAAATGCAAATAAGTGCTTGTCAAAAAAAATTAAAGCTTAGTAGAAAAGGTGTCAAAAACTTGATAGAAAACGCATAGAGAAGTCACAAAAATTTTATGGAAAGCGTAGCTGGAATTCTCACTTTCGTTCGCAGGTATAAAAAGTTGTAGCAACAACTATCAAAGAAGGACGAGTTGACACCTCAGTGGCGACAACTTGGAAGTGAACTTCATGCCGGTTTAAGTCCTGATGCAAACCATTAAGCCACTAATTCATTACAGTCATCATCCAAGTGACGTCAATTTTGCTTATATTAGGAGGAAAACTAATCTCCTCTCTGGGCAGAAATTATGTTTATGTTTTACTTAGATCACCGATTCGTAAGCAGTTTTATTTATCGATACTTGGACGTTTTTTCTTTGGTTTCATTAGCAGGATTAGAATACTTCACTCCGGGATCTGAATCAGACACCCACCTATTTTTTATGTGAAGTACT